GCAAAACTGGTTAGTGAATAAGAAGTTTGAAGACGGTGTGGATAAGCTTGATTGGCGATTGCGAGATAAAAAGAATGAAATGGATTAACCTTTTGAAAATAGAATAGCGAGCAGCAGAGCAAATGCGAAGGGAAGAAATGCAAGTGGAGATGTTGATAGTTTCAACGCTGGCTTTGACGGCTTTGTTTTAGTTGTACGTAGATGCAGCGCAGAGATAAAGGCGAGGCGTGGTATGGTGATGAAAACTATTAATGTGTACATGTAGAATGTTTTGCATATTTCGAAGAAATGGTTGAAGTCAAGGAGGTTCCATTTAATATCGAAAGAGCTGTCGTTTTGAGTATAGTTGTTGAAAATTTTTGCACATTTCCATAATGGTTGTATACCGTTGATGTAATTCAATGTTCCTTGAGGTTCTATTATGGTTACTTGAGAGCCACACTGAACGCGACATTGTTCTCTAATTTGTGCTTTGTCGAAGAATAGTCCGATTTCGTTTTGATGTCCTGCTCTTGTGACGTGAGCACAAATTGCCTTATTCCGCACGTTACGTGTGCGTTGGATTGTTGCACATTAGTTTGGCACTGTATGTTTGCCATTGCCCCTTTGTTGCAATTGTAGTATCCAGTAAATGGTGCTGGTACGATGTTACAGTTGAATTCCATAATGTCTTGTGCAAACTGTGTTGTGGCAGGATCTATATATATGGCTGTTTCGATTGAGATAGCCGAGGTATAGGATTATGGGAAGCCTTTTGGGTCCGGCTATTACTAACCCATTTGAGACAATCTCAAAGGACAGGTAGGGTGTTTGAGAGCGAGCTCTTTTCCGAGACTTATTGTGTGTACAATAACATGAAATTGGGTCCTCCGCTGGATTGAACCTACACGTATCTTGGATGCTGCACATGTTCGTGATTGGGTTAGAATTTGAAGGAATCGAGGCGCAAGCGTAGCTAAATGATATTTCGTCGTCTAAATATGCTGTTGTCTTGATGCTTGTTATAAATCGCTTGAACCGCATTGATAATGGTAAGAAGGAGAAGGAAGTTATTTCTATTCTTGTCTTGCCTAGTCTGGCGTCGTGTAAGGCTTAATTTCTCCAAAGTAGGTTTTTCTAGTTTGATTCTTGTCTGTGTACTCTACTTTGAACGTAACGATTTTGTGCCGCAAGTCAGCAACATTTCTTGGCGGCCAAAAATGCCCTCCCCTTACTATAACCGGTGGCTCATGTAATTTCTTTCTCGTTATCACAATTGTAATTTACAGCCATGCTAACCCACAAACAGATGGGATGACATTGACATACTTATCTTCTCATATGAAAACATGTGTAGTTCACTATGACTCCATTCCTCAGTTCAGTTTATCAGCTTGTAGTGTTTGTTTACTAAATGATTCCTAGATTACTAAATAGTTGAGCATGTGAGCTGAGCTCTGCTTGAAGGCCGCACATTTGACAGTGATGTTCATCACCGTTGCATTACCAAGGCGGTGATAGATAAATTGAGCTACTCTTATCGTTTAATTGATACTTTTGGCATCGCATATTCAACAATCAAGGCAATCACTTGGTTACAGTGAGCTGCTCCACAGTGGAGATATCTAACAAGAACTACAAACGGGGTGGGCTGAAATCATGGTAACCGAAGGCGTGCACTAAAAACTACTGTTAGCCTGACGAAACAAAGTGAAGGTCTAAAGAGGTCAGTAATTCCTATGTACAAAAAACTACGCTTTAGGAGGATTCGAATCTATCACTTACTGCGCACACGAAGACCTTCAGATAAAAAGGGAAGGCGTGCACGGTGGCACGCGTGAGACGCGACAATGACTCCAAGTTTCTTGTGGCCTATTCAGAGAATCGGACTTTTTTGTAACTTCAGTTTGCTCCTGCCCACAGATTTACCATGCAAAACCTGGGTGATTTCGATGAGCGATTCCTAGCTTACAGTTGTTCAAGAAAAGTGAACTCGAAAACCCTCTGCGGTATTTTCGCTTTAGGACTAGGTGATTTGCCCTACTAAAACTCTTGAAATAATGCACTCGAGTGGCTTCTGCCACTGACAGATATTGGATCTCAACAGTCCCATGTGGTTTTTACATCAATTTTTCCAATTTTACTGTAGGAAAGTCGCAAGGAAGGGTACGAGCTTCTGCATTCAATATTTGTCCTGGTGATAAATGTACCCTCCGGATCTCTTTCCCTTCCATCTTAGGCTGTTCCTAACTAACTGAGTCGATCGACCACTACTCAAAAGAGCTTCTATGTTACGTGAAGCTGTCGCAAGATGCAGCGTGCAGAGCTCATGTTCTGTATTGAAGTTGGCAGACGGGATTGGACGTAAGCAAACCAGCCCTTTTGGCGCTTCGGCTGGGACCGTGTGCTGAATGTTGGGGAGGGGATGGAGTCTCCGACGGTAGACGGACCACTTCAACTCGGTCCTTGGAACCGACACAATTTGGTGCTTACCTCAGAACTAAGCCTTAAAGAGAGGACGGGTCCGTCCCCTCTCCAAGGCTTAGTCCTGGGGTGAGCAAACCAGCCCTTCTGGCGGAGCTGCTGGACCAGCTGCACCACTTGCGTCAGTACTCTCCTATCGTACCAACCGAGTTGAAGTAAACCGTCGACCGCTTGGGGACCCCATCCCCTCCCCAACATTCAGCATACGGTCCCAGCCGAAACGCCAAAAGGGCTGGTTTGCTTACCTCCGGGGATTTGATACGTGGTTGTTTCTATAATATTGAAGCCAAAAAAACCCTGACAAATATTTGGCTTTAATGGAAAGAAGAGCTGTTCTCTATCACATTATATACCCCAAAAGGAAGGAAGAAAGTAAGGAGATCGAGACAAGAATGGGTTTCTGGAGCACGCATTCGTGTTTACCACAACTCTGGTGTAGCTGAGAGAAGGCCCGTCGCGCGGCAAGAAGGCAGAGTCGTCGGACGAGTCGCAGCGTGATGTGCGATGTAGGACGTGCAATGGTACATTCTATTAACTTGACGCGAAATCACTACAGTACGCGCTGCGACTCGTCCGCTGACTCTGCCTTCTTGCCGCGCGACGGGCCTCCTGTCGGGTACCCATAATTCTGGCCCACCCTAAGTGATGTTTTTGTATCTGAGTGTACATCTTCGGTTGTCCCTGGATATGACTTTGAGGCACAGCAGAATTGCGCGAGATTTCAAATATAACAACAATTTTCGGATAAGAATCGCTTTGGTAATAGTCTAGACGAGCTACTTTCTTACGTGTTCCCTTTCATAGTCTCGAATATCCTCTGACCGTACCGTCTAATGCGAAGGTGCTTTTTGGCAGCAGGAGTAATTTTAAGGCAGTGACGTAGCTCGAAAAGTAGTTAGCAGAAGGAATTCGCTGTCTGGTGTTACTCAGGAACAGCTACCTTTTCAAAACTCGATCAGTCGTCAATACAGTGGAACGGTGTCTTTCCGCGTCACACCCCTCGCCAAATCAAATTCCTTTGCCTTGAGGTAGGCGACCATCTTCTACTCGCCAACCTGTAGTTCTTCATGTTGCATTTGTTATCTATTCCATTGATCGTTGCATTTGTTACTATTACTATTTGCAAATGTCGAGCATTTCCTCCGGCCTTGACGATAGCCGCTAATCAATTGGGAGCGCCCCGAACACACGAACTTGTTCTCCCACTTCATTGCGCTCTCCCAATCGCGATCTTTTCCGTTCGCTCTTCTGCCGTCTCAAACCGCATTTGATTCTATAATGATTCGTCTTGCTATTGCTGAGACCGACTGCTTTACATTCACTTTCTTAGTTAGTCACGTCTTCGTGGAATAGGGTTGCCTCGTTTCATCTTTTTTCAAACTTATCATCCATGAAATATTTATCTACTTTCACATTTGTAGGCTTTTAGACGGAAAATCCATGTGCTGGACTCATTCTACTCGGGTTCCGAAGCGGTATACACCGTAACGTATAGGGGTTGAACATTCATGAGATATAAAGATTGGAACCAAAGCCAGTTCAAAAAGTTTTCGTCGATAATTTTGTATTCCACGGGTCTTCTAGTACTTGAATTCAAAGAAGCCTTCCTTCAGATGCCTAACCTCGCTGGGGTTTTACTTGCCTTCCTTTTCGTCGTCACTTACGCCAACTATGCCGATCGTGAGTTCTTCGAATTTTTAATGGACCATCAGCTTGTGACGTTTGTAGTACTAGCCACTTTGTCTCAGAAGTTGGTTTTCCGATTTCCCACCTGAGTTAAATGTCTGGAGAAGTCATCCGAGAGGTCGACCAGTTCCAATGATGTTAAAGCACTACCAAGAAGTGGGCGTAGAGTTTTTGTTGAGGATCGAGACTTGCCCTTCAATATGAGGCAGTCGATCTGTTGCTGCCGTGCTAGTACTGAGCATGGTGAATGACCAACCATCTGGAGCTGTTCGAGGATGGTTGGCCATTGAAGTACTGTAGACTGCGTTATAGTGGTGCAATGAAAAGTGGGTTGCCGGATGTCAGTTTGAGGATTCTCAGAACAATGGATGTGCTTCGGAGAAAACTTTTGTCATTGTCAGTAACGTCGTGGTAAAAATGATTGCTTACACCTGCTAGAAGCCATATATAGACAAAGGGAGTTGAAATCAAAGCACAGGCCGAATTGTTACAACCCGAGTGAAGGCCATCCAATTATATGAGTTCCACTGAATGAACTGGAATTCCATTAAGTGAATGACAATGCTATGGTATGGATTGAATTGATTTTCTAATGAATTTCAGGATATGACCGATCGAAGATGCCATGGGATTTACGTCCCGTTCAAAACTATATCGTGCTGTGCCTTAACAATCCAACACGGACGATCAGGTAGTTTCCCTGGACAATGCCATTTTTTCGTACGCAACGGCTTTCCGCTACTGTTCAACCGCTCTGGAATTCTATCTGTTAGGCTTTATTTTGAAAACAACTTGCAAGAGATTCTCCCCACCGGATTCAATAGACTTGCGCAATTAATCTGTTCCAAATTCGAGCTCGTGCTATCAATATCACGTAGGTTTTTTTTCGACGACATTCTTATAGCCTGCATCAGAATCGCTACCTTAGAAATGATCATCTTCGGCGTAAACACAACAGAATCCTTCATGTCTTTGAAATAACAATATCGCGAATTCCTGAAGATGGCTTAAAAATTCTCATGCTTCCTTTTGGGATGCGTTTATTCGATACTTACATCCGTTTGCATGAGTCGAATTGACCCCATAAAATACTGCGGGCCGCGTCAGTGTTTTTTTTTATCTCCTCAGACGATGTACCAATAACCGACCCCAGAAGAGGAAAGCTTGCGTAGCCCTGCCAATGACACACGACCCAAGATTCGATCCACGGACTCGTGCGCATGCTATGGTAGCAGCGCCACTTCGCAGTACACCACTTCCGCCCTTACGTGTTTTTTTTCCAATCTTTCCATTCCAATTCTTGGAGGCATTCAGAAAAAAGGGGTCCGGTTTCCGTTCAAGAGACACTTGACCTGATTGATTCAGGACTCTTGAAGGCGCATTCCCGATTAGTTGACTGTAACAATCCTTATCGTGAATCGGGTAGGTAGTAAACTATGTAGTGAAATTTTCGAGACTTCAAATAGGTGGCGAAGGTTCCAGCGGCCTAAAACCTACAGCTATGTACACCTCACGAAGAACGGCTATCGTAACGGTACCTGCGTCCAACTTTTCCATCGAGTTCTCTCTCGTTAGCATTCATTACCTCTCGGGCTCGACTTCATAGAATTTCTCAGATTCTTCCACCGGTTGGAGCATACATGCTCTTATTTCGAGTGCTTATCTTTCTCTTTCTTTTATCTTTCTGTCTCCTTTTTCTAAACGGCTGGTCAATCAACACCTATGGTTTCTCCAACATGATCACCTTTGTTACTGCAGGCATCGTGCCGAATTGTTGACCTGCAACATTGGAAAGCCAAATCCACTTCCCTCCTTCGAATTCAATTCGCGTTCAGTTCTTTTTTTAACGGCTGTTTTCTAGGCGGACTGCTGCTGCTTGTTCATAGCTGTGTGATAGTCACTTGATGTACCTCATTGGGACTGCTCTCGTTTTCGAATACGGCGACAATTTTTTGAGAACATTTTATGACTGCCTAAAGCTTTGGATCAAAACAATCAAAAATTTGCCGGTGCTGGCAGCAAGTTTTTAAGGGTCTACGACTACATCGGCGTGGCTTGCTGCCTTGAGTCGACCTCGAACATTTTGAATGGATATTTACGTCTCACCATCAGAGGAGAACCGTTTCCTATTGAGCCTGCTAAAGACACACAGCCGATTGGCTTCCGGCGCGGCGCTCCTACATGCAATGGAAGCATTCGTGCCTGTCGCCTGTTGCTGGCAGTGCTTTGTCAGAGTTGGGTCACGGATGGATCGCAAGAGGCAGACAAAGGAACGCATGAGAGGCGGAACATTGACGATTTCTGCAATGTTGTGTTGGACTGTTGATACATCGCTACTGAGGGACAAACAGGTTTCTCTCAGTCGTTGCA